ACGTGCTACCACACCCGGCTAATTTTTTGATTTATTGTAGAGATGAAGTCTCGCCAAGTTTCCCAGGGGGGTCTCAAACCCGCGGGCTCAGGCATTCCACTCACCTCGCCCTCCCAAAGTGCAGGATTACAGGTTGAGCCACCGAGCCCGGCTCACCTCAGCCTCTTGAGTAGCTGGGACTACAGGCATACACCATCACACCCAGCTAATTTTATTTTTTGTAGAGGTGGGTTCTTGCTATGTTGTCCAGGCTGGTCTTGAACTCCTGGCTTCAAGCATTCCTCCCACCTTGCTTCCCAAAGTGCGGGAATTACAGGTGTGAGCCACTGCACCCAGCCTTATTATTAAAACTCTTAATTAAAAATACATGTATATGACACATGATATATTACTTATTCTGTATTTCCAAACAAAACACTTCTACTACATTTTCTTTATTTATCAGCGTAAGATATTTATTGACAACTAGGTAGAAAGACTTGGCTGGCCTCTATCCCTGGTTCTGGGAGACAGTCTCTAAACCCTTGAAGTTACTGAGTTACTAAGGACAGCTTCTGAGTTTAAGCTAGCAAGATGTCTCAGGGTGGGGGGACAGCACACCAGAAGGAGCAACCATGTGACCAGAAAGCTGGGGCTGGTGACCTCAGCCAGCCTCCTGGGAGGGAAGGAGGACTGGAGGCTAAACTTAATCATGCTGACAGCTCAGTCAATCAAGACTTAGTAAATGAGACCCCAAAGAAGACTCTGGACACCAACACCAAAGAGAGCTCTCCTGGTCAGCAGTACTTTTCTTTTTCTTTTTTGAGTTGGAGTCTCACTCTGTCACCCAGGAAGGAGTGGCGAGCTCACAGCCACCACAGCTTCAACCTGCTGGGCTCAGGAGATCCTTCCACCTCACCTTCCAAGTAGCCAGAATCACAGGTACACACCACTGTGCCCAGCTGATTTTTTTATTTATTGTAGAGATGAGGACTCGCCAAGTTGCCCAGGCTGGTCTTAAACCCCTGCACTCCGGCAGTCCTCTCGCCTCAGCATCCCAAAATGCTGGATTACAAGCTTGAGCCACTGCGCCCAGCAGTACTTTTCGAGTACTGTCATGCTTTGCAGCTAGGAGGGCGACGAGTGCCAGAGGACAAGGGACACCCTGTGTGGGAACCTTCCCGGATTCTACCCTGTGTGTCTCTAATCTGTATCCTTTTGTCACAATGAACACGAATTTTAAGTAGAGTGTGCTGAGCGAGTGCCGCAAGTCTTTCTCTCATGGAGCTGAGTTGGGGTGGACCCTCAATCTGCAGCCAGCAGGTCAGAAGTGAGGGTGCCCTGGGGATCCCAAATGTGTGACTGGTGCCTGCAGTGGAGGCAGTTCTGTGGAGGGCTGCTCCCTCAGACTTTGGGGTTTGCAAACTAACTGCAATCCCCTTGCAGGAAAACTAAGGTTCAGCACCAATATCCTAAACCCAACTCCACACTTGGCTAGATTGAGACTCAGTTTCCACCTATGACACTGGTCAGGGCTATGCCCAGAGTGACCTTCCATTGTGCTTATGTGCTTGAGGTTCATTGAGCTTCTTGTATCTGTATAGCTTTCACAAATTTGGAAAATTTTAGGCCATACATTTTCAGATTTTCTTTTCTGCCCACCTGCAACCTCTTACTGGAATTCCAGGTATAGGCATAGTAGAACACCTGATGTCCCACAATTCGCAGTGGTGCTTCTTAACTCAATTTCTTAAATTATTTTTTTCTGTGTTTCAGTCTAGATTGTTTCTACTATGATAATTCCAAACTCACTGACTTTCTGCAAAATATAATCTGATATTCAGTCCAACTAGTTAATTCTTCATTTTCAGATATTGCCTTTTCAGCTTTAATTCATTTTATTATTTTACACGACACCCATTTAGTTCTGTATGACACGTGTTCTCCTTTGAGTCCTTGGGAATACTCTCTTAAAATCCTTGTCTGTGGAGTCCATCATTGCTGTCATTTCTGTGTCTGTTTTTGCTGATTGGTTTTCCTCCTGGTTATAGGTTACATTTCCATGGTTCTTGGCATAACTTGTAATTCTGGATTGGGTGCTGGATAGTGTGATGTCATGTTGTTTAGTGTCTTGATGTTGTTACTGTTTTATAGAGAGTGTGAGGGTTTGGGGGTTGGGGGGCAGGTAGTTAAGTTACTTGCGAATCAGCTGGACCCTTTCATGACTTGTTTTTGGCGTTTCTAGGGTGGACAGAATAGTCAGCACCCAGAGCCAGTTTAGCCCTACTGCTAAGGCAAAGCTGTCCTAGAACTCTACTGAGTGGCCGAGTGTTCTACAAGATTTCTCCATTCTTGCTGGGGAGAACTCGGACAGCTCCGGCCCCATGTGAGCAGTGGGAATTCTGCTTACAGCTTCCCAGCACGCACAGTTTACCTTTCGAGTGAAGACCAGGGGGTACCTGCAGTGGTTTCAGGAGCTGTTCTACTGTGAAGCGTCACCCACACTACATTCTGCAAATCCTAACTGTCTCAACTTCCCCAAGTTCTAGCTTGTCTCCTCTACTACGCAAGGCTTCCAAGCTGTCCTTGGATTGCATCTCTCTGTCCTTGGTCCAGAAAGTGATTCCAGGCAGAACACCAAGAGATCCAGTCTCATCGCATCTATTTCTGTCACCTCAGGGAAGGATCCAGTGTCTGAAAACAGTTTTCCAATTGTTTAAGGAAAAAGGATAAAAACCCAGATCTTGTTATTCCACAATTCCAAAGAACTTTCAAACACAATATTTTGATTGCATATATGCTCTCAATCTAAAGAAACAACAAGAGCAAATATTGAACTATAGTTGGTAGGTTTGCATTTCACAGTGGTAAAGATTAGCAATTCTAAAACGACTTTCCCTGTTTTCTGGGACTGAGCAAATGAGTAAATATGCTAAGAATAATGAAGTGAGGGTTCTTGTTGCATAAGAAAGTTAGAAAAATTGAAAAGAGGCGTTCAGAATGAACTTTACAGTTTGAACTGCAGTTAGAAGTATCAGTATAAGCTCATAGCTTTAATATTTAGATAGCTACATAAAAATGCACAGACACACTCATTCTATGGGTTGAACTGTGTGTCTCTGAAAAAGACATGTCAAGTGCTTACCCCCAGGATCTCAGAACATGACCTTATTTGAAAACAGGTCATTGCAAATATAACTGGTTAAGATGAGTTCTGCTGGCAGAGCAAGGCAGGCCCTTCATCCAACAGGACAGATGTCCTTTCAGGAAGAGGAGAGACAAAAGAGACAGTGACCCCCAGGGAGAAGGCCTTGTGAAGACAGAAGCTAGGTAACGCTGCTACAATCCCAGGAATGCCAGGACTGATGCCATCACCAGAGGCCAAGAAGAGGCAAGGAAGATTCTGTCCGAGTCTCAGAGGGGCACAGCCCTGCCGACACCTGGATCTCAGACTTCTAGCCTCCAGGACTGTAAGAGAATAAACTTCTGTTGTTTTTAACCACTTGGTGTGTGGTACTTTGTGACAGCAGCCATGAACCTAATACAGGATATGCAAGTATCTCCTGGTTCTGACTAACAAAAGGGCCTAGGAACAATGACCCCAGCCCCCAGCAGCAATGTGCACGCCCAACACCCAGACTTAGCGTTTAAATATCGTTTTCCAGCCGGGCTTGGTGGCTCAGCCTGTAATCCCATGTCTTGGGAGGCTGAGGTGAGTGGATTGCCTAAGCCCGCGGGTTCAAGACCCGCCAGGGCAACTTGGTGAGACCTCATCTCTACAATAAAAATCAAAAAACTAGCCGGGCGTGGTAGTGTGTGCCTGTAGTTCCAGCTACTTGGAAGGCTGAGGCGGAAGGATCGCCGGAGCCCAGCAGGTCGAGGCTGCGGTGGCCGGGAGCAGCCACTGCACTCCAGTCTATGTGACAGAGTGAGACTCCAACTCAAAAAAAAAAAACATTTTCCACCTAAAGGACTCCTTGGAGAGACAAGAGGCTGAAGGACTGGGCAGGAAAAGCACAAGCTGGGCCCAGAGTGTCACAGGGTGAAGGCAGGCAGTACTGACGAGCGACACCAGCCCCAGGTGGTGGCCACTGCCCATACCTGGGGCAGTCGGAGCCAGAGAAACCTACCAGTGATAGGAACAGATGGTAACCCTGAGCCCCTACTGTTAAGAAGGAAACAAGCCACCAAATGACAAATAAACGCGACACGCACAGCAGAGTAACATCTGCGGAAGGACTGGAGGGCTAAGAAGCTTCCTGTTGTTTAGCTGCTTACGTCTGAGCAGGGGGAATCACCAACAGAGGCTCAAGGATGGGCAGTGGTGGCAACATGACAGCGCCATCCAATTCCCGCAGCCTTGCGTGATGCCAGGAGACACCCTGGGAGGGAGCCCAGGCAGGAGCCGCCACCCATGAATGGCCCTCGGTGGTGCTCCGAGAGACCAAGGAACGGCTCACGGGTGCTCAGAGAACGCTGGGGCAAGGTCCTTGCGTATCTGAGGGAAAGCAATGGCCGCAATGATTGACTACATGCCCGCAGACTGCATCCCAGGTTCTCTTTAAGCCTGACTCACCCAGAAGCCATCACTGACAGCAGGAACATCACATGGTGCCGTCCACCTGCACAGGTTCCTCTATGTGAGAATACACTGGGCTCATACTGTCCTCGGGGATCTGCAGTGATCAATCCACACAGAGGAGCCTGCACAAGTCAGCATGACTTAGATGTGTTTCAGAAAGCAGCCCAGGCCTGAATGTATCTGAATGGCCCTTATGATGTTACATGATATAACAGTGTACTTGGTAACTTCATGCGCACAAAATACAGAATGTAGATGATTCTCGGATGGTACGACAATAATCCTAGGAGACACTTTTACAAGGGAAACCTCTGGGGATAACACTAATTTTTTTCCTCATCTATATATCTACGATTTCTAACTTTTTAAATTATGATGCATTATTTGTGTAATAAAAACATTTTTCAATTAATTCAGATGCTATAACCAACTTGAAAATTTTCATTTTCAGGAAAATGAAAAGTGAGTTCAAAAGGAATGAGCAGCCTTTTGAAGTCTGGTGCCTGCGGGGCAGGCCCAGTCAGGCCGCGCTGCCCCACCCACACCCAAGGAAGGCCCTTCGCCCTGCGGGCTGTCACAAGAGCTGCCTGGCAAATGGGATCAACATGAACTCCACACACACCCACGCTCAGACTCGCCTCCCCGCAGGAAATGCAGCTGTGAAGCCCAGGGGTCCTGAAAAGACCACAGCCAGGGCAGGAAGCAGCAGGCCCTGGATGGCTCGCCCCTCCATCACCCCCTGAGCGCCTAAGACCCAGAACTTTGGGCCTAAAAGTCAGTAGCAATTCAGCTACACATGGATGGGACGCCAGGATCCAGCAGTTAAACAAAGGCAAAAGTACTTAATTGCTTCCGACACATGCACACGCCCAAGTACACATGCCCATGTATACACATGCAGTTCTCTGCCTCTGGGTGGACTCTGCAAGCCAGGATCTGTGAATTGCTGGGGTCTGGGGAAGGTCTGGCACACAGCACCCTGCATAAGGACATCCCAGTGGGAGCCAAGCTCCGGGCAGAGATGGGGAGCCTTAGTCTGACAGGCTGCTGCCGGTGTTCCCCCCCAAGACTCGGCTGTGTTATGAAGGCAAGCCACACTACGCTGCTGGTGTCAGCGCTCAACTACCCAAAGGGGTCACCCCATGTTCAACGCAGCAGCAAAATGGGAGAAGGCCAGAGGGTGGCTCTCACAGTCAACCAGGAGGGACACAGGATAGGGGCATCACCCCTTCCTGTGCCAGACTGGCCATGCAGCAGCTGCAGCCCTGCAGATGGTGTTCCGAGCCACTGGCAAGCGCCTGGGAGGCCCTGCGGCTCCCATGAGCCCCTGTGCATGGCCCTAGCCCCCCGTGCACCATCACCCACCTGCACTGCCACCCCTCCATCCCCATGCACCACCACACCACGTCCCATACTCCTCCCCGGCACTGCCTGGGTCCCCAGGCACCCATGCGCAGCCGGTGCACCCAGAAGAGGCCCAGGTGCTCTCCCGGGAAAGTTGGCGGGCGGGCGCTCACCGGTTGGTGGAGCCATTGTAGCAGTAATTGGGCAGGAAGTCGTAGTTGAGCTCCCAGAAGACATGGAGTGTGATCCGCCCGTAGGGCGCCGACACATTGTGGTTGGCCTCACGGAACATGGCATCAAAGCTGTCCAGCGTCAGGTAGCGGCTCAGCAGCCTGTGAGTCATGCGATTGATTTCCAAGAGGCCGTCCAGCTCCTGTGGGCACAGAGACTAGGTGGGAGGCACAGAGCCAGAGGGAGGTACCGCTGGCCGACCCTGCTCTGGTGGTCCCTGGAGGCTGGACGAGGAGGCCGGGGAGCATGGACGCTGCGCCCCTCGCTCCCCACAGCTCTGAAGTACACCCCCTTTCTGGTTACCCCCTTGTCACCTGCTGCTGCCCTCCGATCATCCCCCGGGCAGAGCCCACTGTCACCTCCCATGCCACCCCCACCTGCAGTGGGTCATGGGAGCCGTCCTGACCCCAGCATCGGCAGTGGCCTGCACAGGTGTCAGGCTGGGAGTGAGCCTCCTCCAGGGGCCTGGGCGATTTGGGTGCAGCACACATGGCCTTGTGCCCCTCCCTGGACACTCAAGACGCTCGGCTGAGGGGTCAACACACTGAGTGTGTCATCTGGGGGTATACTGGGCTTAATAAAATATATTAGAAATAACTTAACCCATTTCTTTTTCTTTTTTTTTTTTTTGAGTCGGAATCTCACTGTCACCCAGGCTGGAGTGCAGTGGCATGCTCACAGCCACCGCAGCCTCAACCTGCTGGGTTCAGGTTGTCCTTCCGCCTCAGTTTTCCAAGTAGCAGGAGCTACAGGCATACACCACCACGCCTGGTTAATTTTTTTGATTTATCGCAGAGACAAGGTCTCACCAAGTTGCCCAGGCTGGTCTTGAAACCCTGGACTCCGACAATCCTCTTGCCTTAACCTTCCAAAGTGCTGGGATCACAGGCGTGAGCCACCACACCCGGCCTTCTTTTTCCCTTTTCAATGTGACTACGAATGAATTTCAAATTACATATGTGTTTTGCACTCTGTTTCTATAGGATGGCACTGGCCTGGGTCAAGGCCTCCACCAAGTATTTACTCAAATTCATGTTTTGCCAATGACGACTGGCACAATGGGCCAGGCCAGCCATGCTGGTACAGGCAAGGTCTCCCAGGCCCTCTCTGTCCAATTCTGAGGATGAACTAGAGGAGCCTTACCCCCACAGACGCTCATGGGGCCTATACCAGCGCCAGCCTATGCCAGCGGAGAGCTCTCCACCCTCCACGGAAGCTTATCCTCCAGGAACAGACACTCTTCCTGAGCTCCTCACACTGTCACCATCCGACCACAGCCTTTACTCTCAGAAGACTGATCTGTCCTGGATTGTACCATATATCTTTGAAATAAGATATTTTAAAAAGTAAATAATTTTTAAAAAGCTTGATCTGGTTGGCCAGGGAGTTCTTCATCTACACTTCCTCTCCTCAATCCTGGCAAAAGTCTGAGGATTTTCTTTCTCTAACTGCTCTGCTCAGACAACCAAGGGATATTTTTCTTCTCCTGTAAAGTCCAACATGTTCACTGCAGTATCTCTTTAAAATTTATTATTATTTTTTCTAAACTTTAACTAACCTAAGTAAGATGTAATATTTTGTGGTGTTGACCAGTATGGGTCAGTTTTCCTAAGTACATGATGTATGCGTTTTAAATAAAAGTAAGTAATTAAAAAATTTTTTTTGTAGAGACAAGATCTCATTATGTTGCCCAGGCTGGTCTCAAACTCTTGGCCTCAAGTAATCCTCTTGCCTGGGCCTCCCAAAGTGCTGGGATTATAGGCATGAGCCACGACACACATGAGGTATGCTTTTAATACACACTTTCAAATTGTCTTCTATTTTTTTTTTTTTGAGTTGGAGTCTTACTCAGTCGCCCAGACTGGAGTGCAGTAGCCGCTCCCGGCCACCGCAGCCTCGACCTGCTGGGCTCTGGCGATCCTTCTGCCTCAGCCTTCCAAGTAGCTGGAACTACAGGCGCGCGCTACCACACCCGGCTAATTTCTTTTTATTTATTGTATAGATGAGGTCTCGCCAAGTTACCCAAGCAGGTCTTGAACCCGCAGGCTCAGGCAATCCACTCACCTCAGCCTCTCAAAGGCGCAGGATTACAAGCTGAGCCACCGAGCCTGGCTTTGTCTTCTATTTTATCAAGTTTTCTTGAAATACAAATCTCAATTTTATTTCCATTCAGTTGCTTTGGTTTTCTTCATCAGGGACCTCTATAATACGTATGTTAGACCTTCATCATCTATCTTCTGTGCCATTTTCTCGCAAATCCTTTTCCTATGTTTTTTTTTTTTTTTGAGTTGGAGTCTCACTCGGTCGCCCAGACTGGAGTGCAGTGGCTGCTCCCAGCCACTGCAGCCTCGACCTGCTGGGCTCCAGCGATTCTTCTGTCTCAGCCTTCCGAGCAGCCGGAATTACAGGCATGTGCTACCACGCCCAGTTGATTTTTTGATATATTGTAGAGATGAGGTCTCATTGCCCAGGCGGGTCTCAAACCCGCAGGCTCAGGCAATCCACTCACCTCAGCCTCCCAAAGGCGCGGGATTACAGGCTGAGCCACCGAGCCCGGCTCCTTTTCCTATCTTAATGTCTTTTAGATTTTAAAAATTTCCTTCCTTTGATTCTTCCTATTTCTCTTAAGTCATCATCCATTGTGTTCTTTATGGTGTAGTTTACATTGTAAAAATATTTCTTCTTTCCTTCTTTTTTTAGAGTCAGTCTCACTCTGTCACCCAAGCTGGTAACATAGCTCACTACAACCTTGACCTCCTGGGTTCAGGTGATCCTTCCACCTCAGCCTCCCGAGTAGCTGGGACTATAGGTGTATACCAGCCACCTATAAAATTACCTGGCAAATTTTTTATAGAGACAAGGTCTTGCTATGTAGCCTAGCAAAACCTAGCTATGTAGCCTAGGCTGGTCTTGAACTCCTGGCTTCAAGCAGTCCTCCTGCCTCAGCCTCCTAAACTGCTGGGATTACAGGTGCGAGCCACTGATTTTTTTTAAATAATTTTTTTTGAATTGGAATTTCACTCTGTTGCCCAAGCTGACATGCAGGGGATCCTGTGTGGCTCCCAGCCTTTTGCAGGAAGCTGGAGTTCAGTGAGTTGTTGTGGGCAGCCTGGGGGCTGCCCCATTCCCACGTGGAAGGTGGGTCTGAAGTCCAAAGGTATGGCTCTACCTTCAGGGCCAGACCCTCTTGGCTACTGCTGTGTGGTCCATGCGAGTTCTGGTTTTACCCTTGAGGACTTTCCTTGCATATTCTCAGCTTAACTGCTTATTTATTTATTTATTTTGGAGTCAGGGTTTCACTCTGCCACACAGTGGCATGATCACAGCTCACTGCAACCTTGACTTCCTGGGCTCCAGTGATCCTTACACCTTGCCTCCTGAGAAACTGGGACTACAGGCACACGCCACTATGCCTGGCTAGTTTTTAATTTTTTGTACAGACAAGGTCTCGCTATGTTTCCCAGGCTGGTCTCCAACTCCTGAGCTCAAGCAATCCTCTCGTCTTGGCTTCCTAAAGTGTGGGATTACAGGTGTGAGCCACCATGGCCAGCCTTCTTTTGCTTTTAATTCTTTTTTTTTTTTTGAGTTGGAGTCTCACTGTCGCCCAGACTGGAGTGCAGTGGCCGCTCCCAGCCACCGCAGCCTCGACCTGCTGGGCTCTGGCGATCCTTCTGCCTCAGCCTTCCAAGTAGCTGGAACTATAGGCACGCGCTACCACGCCCGGCTAATTTTTGATTTGTTGTAAAGATGAGGTCTCGTCAAGTTGCCCAGGCGGGTCTTGAACCCGCAGGCTCAGGCAATCCACTTACCTCGGCCTCCCAAAGTGCTGGGATTAGAGGCTGAGCCACCAAGCGCGGCCTTGTTTTTAATTCTTTCATGGGTTTTATCATTTCTCTTTTCAAAACTTTCTTTTAGCCAATCAGCTTATTTCTAGATTTTTTAAAATTCTGATTTATGTTGTTCTTTCATAGCAACTATCACTTTATTCTTATAGCTCATTTTGAAAGACCAGGTTACAATTTTCATAAATTTCATGGGCATCTTTCTTTTCTTTTTTTTTGAGTTGGAGTCTCACTCGGTTGCCCAGACTGGAGTGCAGTGACCGCTCCCGGCCACCGCAGCCTCGCCTGCTGGGCTCTGGCGATCCTTCCACCTCAGCCTTCTGAGTAGCCAGAATTACAGGCATGCACTACCACGCCCGGCTGATTTTTTGATTTATTGTAGAGCTGAGGTCTCGCTGCCCAGGTGGATCTCGAACCTGCAGGCTCAGGCAATCCACTCACCTCAGCCTCCCAAAGGCGCGGGATGACAGGTTGAGCCACCGAGCCCGGCTCATGGGCATCTTTCTGATGTGCTTTCACTGACCGAAGGGACACAACCGTGTACTTACATTCTCTTTTTTACTATGACACACCTGAATGGGATTGGACCGTGATCTTTTCTATAGCTCAAGTGTCACATGAACGAAACAGCCTCCTTGGCTTCTGAGGAGGAAGGAGCTTGCCAGAGCCAACACCAGTGGCTCATGCTTCCCAAGACTGTCTCTCATGCTCTCCTCCCTGGCTGGACTTTTCTTTGCTCATTATCCCTAACACTATCGGGTCAAGCATATCCCAGCAGCTTCTCCCTGTGCACCTTCGTCTCAGAAGGAAATTTTTATCTACTGGACTCTAGAGTTTGCAGGGCTGACTAGCCCTGCAAACCGCACCTCATCTCAAGCACGCAAGAGCTCCGCAGGAGGCATTCTCTGCAGGCCGTGCTACACCTAGGAGACAACGCCGTCACACTGGGCTCCCTGGGCTCCCTGGAGCTAGGTGACGGACAGCACAACCACAGCATGTTTAGATGGCTTGACCCACAGGGATCATGGTGTACCCAGGGCGGGAGGAGATATTCCACCTTCAGGAGTCTTATTTGATCGTATGAACAGGAAAACTTGAAGTTACTGAACATCATGAAAGAAATTGCTGCTTCTCAATCAACTCCCAGACCCAAGCTCCCAGATGAAGAGGAAGGACCTTCTGAAATTAACAGAACACACAGTGTAAACCTTCCTTCCCCAGTGGAGATGAATTCATGGCCATTTGCTGTAACACTGTGTACTGGAGAAGGGGAGATGACTACCTTGGTCAGGATTACAGGACACTAGCTCTGAACGGACATTAATTCCTAAAGATTCCAAGACATCATGGTCCAGCGGTCAGAGTCAGGGAGGTCAGGTGATGAGAGGATCCAAGGCTTGAGTCCTCCTCATCAAGGCCCACCCTGTGGCTGTGTCGTTGGCTCTGGAGTGTGGAGCTAGATGGGCACCCCTGAGTGGCAGGGCCAACATCTTCTCTCCAGGTTAAAGGTTCTCTTCCAGGGTTTCTTCAGACATGGCTTCCATGACTCATCTTCTGTCTCCTGTAACACTCTACTTACACGTTAGATCTTTTCAAGGCTGCCCACATTTCTGACACTCCTTTCTCTTTCATTCATTCTTACTTTTCTCTATTCCGTATGTTAGATGTTTTCTAACATCCTGCTCTTCTATTCCTTAGTTCTGTCCTCTTTTGAGACTTTCTTTTCTTTTTTTTTTGAGTTGAAGTCTCACTGTGTCACCCAGGCTAGAGTGCAGTGGCATGCTCATGGCCACTGCAGCCTCGACCTGCTGGGCTCAGGTGAGCCTTCCACTGCAACCTTACAAATAGCTGGAACTACAGGCACATGCCACCACATCTGGCTAATTTTTTTGATTTATTGTAGAGATGAGTCTTGCCAAGTTGCCCAGGCTGGTCTTAAACCCATGGATTCAGGCAATCCTCTCACTTTGGCCTCTCCAAGGGCTGGGATTATAGGCGTGAGCCACTACACCCGGCCTTCCTGAGACTTTCTGATGTATAAGTCAGCTGTTTAAATTTAGCATAGGAACATTTTCTTTCATTAAACCTTTTATTATCGCTTCTGCTTTAGACATTGTGGTTACTCTCACAGCAACTTCTACTATTGTCTGATTGTATTCTCATTCTCTTTCAAAATTATAAATTCTTTTCGTTTTCCTCTCATGCGATTTTTACTCTGCATTTTTAGGAAATTTATCTAGTTTGTTCTCCAAATTAGGATTATATTTTTATTCTCTGACAATTTTACTTTTTGTCACCTCTGTCCCTTCAGCAGGACCGGCTGCCTTGGGACAAACCCAGGTTCCTCACCACAAGCCCCTATCGAGAGGACTTATGCCCCGTGGAAGAGTAGCTGTGAGCCTGAGCTCTCTCTCAAGGGGTCTGCCCTTTCTAGAGCGGTCGTCCTTTGAGCCCAGTGGACTGCAGTCCTAGGAGGGCTTTCCCGCCTTGATTTTAATGCTTTATTTAGTCTTTCTGGTCGTCTTCCGCAGGACTGCTGCCTGCTATGAACCACAGCTCCTGACTCTGAATCTGAGGCTGAGTCTTATACCATCTGCCCCTCCTCTCCATAGGAGGGCAGGCCATCCCACAGCAAGACCCCCTGCCCTGCCTTTCCAGGCTAAACACCTATTCGACTCTGTTCCTCTGGGCTTTCTTTCTCCTTTGGAAAAAAGATCACACTGTTTCATTCATTACTGGTACACCACATATTCTAACATCCAACAGGGTTTCCCTCCTGTCATCCTCTGCAATATCAGAGCAGTGCTTGATAACCTTGTCAGTTTCCTGTACCACATAAACTTTAGAATTCATTTATCAAAGTCTATAAAGTACATGTAAGCTAGGGGTAATTAATCAAATCTATGGACTAACTGGGGAATTAATCTTTACTATTTTCATCTAAGTTTTTCCACCAAAGAACATGTTTTCTTCCCCCCTGTTTACTCACACTTCTTTATTTACATTGGGGTTTGTAGACTTCTTTGTGCAAATTTTATCAAGTCATGGTTATTTTTAAAATGTACATCTTTTCCTGATTATTGTGATAGTTAAAAATTTGTATATACTATCTCATTACTACTAAAATGTGAGTATGTTCTTAACAGTGTGCTGTCTTTTACCTAGTTAGGTATAATTCGTTCAAGATTGGGATTATTGGACAACCCTCTTTCAGGTCCCCTCCCACTTGGAAGCTTTTTAGTATTCTTAATAAACTCCTCCATCCTCATCTCTAAAAAAAAAAAAAAAAAAGATTGGGATTATTTATTCTTTGCAGCCAATTTAAAATTGTGAATACTAAGAGTAGATACTAAAAAAGAGACTCAGGATATACCAAGTGCCACTAGTGCACATCTTGTATTACCTAAACAAGAACTGGGCCTACCATTAGTTCAAATGATCAATAAGGAACAAAGGTAAAATTAGTTCCAGTACTTACAACTATGGATGTCAAGTCTTCACTTTCAAATCGCCCAATTGCCAGTTCCAGAGACTTATACATGGCTGCGGAGACACGCTGGGTAATCAGACGGTTGAGGTCTATGGACCTGCCGAGGAGCTGGTGGGGGAGGACCGCAGGGAAAGAGGAACCATGAAAAGCTACAGAACAACCAAGAGCAAACAAACAAGAAGAAAACCCCCTGGAAACCTATTTCAAAAGATAACACAAACAAAATTTGTTTGTAGAAGGATACAATAGAAATTTAAGCCTTTTAGGTATAACCAAATGCACTACTTTCCTGGAGCTGAAACTTTGCAAGTCAAAGCCTTCAAGGATTCTGTAGTGTCCTTTGCACTGAATTTAACCTCAAACCACGGGCGGAAAGCCTACCCTGCCCAGAAACCCTGGAGATCCAGGTCTCTTGATGAAACCCATTCCAATGGTGTCCAGGACCCATCTCCCACCACACAGTGATCGGCATGAGTGTAGTTTTTCACATGTGCTACCATGGCAGATATAGGAAACTTACTCCACCTTCCTTTCAGAGTCCTAAGAACTTATCTTTATCTCAATACCATTCCAACAACATAAAAATACGACAAAACCCTGGTAGAAATGTCTCAAAATGTGCATGGTGGTTATCTGTAGCTAGAGAGTAGAATTAAACAAAATTTTCTTTACAGTTTTCCATTTATTCCTATATTTTGTATGTGTTGTCTACTTTGTTTAAGATGCCAGAAAAAGCATTGTATATATTAATCCTTCATGCTGGACAGGAGAAAGCTTGTCTCTGATAATCTGAGCTGATGAATATTCTAATCTTTTTTTTTTTTTTTTTTTTTGCAAAGTCAGGGCTTTGCTCTATCTTATCCAGGCTGGAGTAGGGTGGCATGAACATAGCTCACTGCAGCCTTGAAAACCTGGACACAAGTGATCCTCTGGCCTCAGCATCCCAAGTAGCTAGGACTATAGGTGCATACCACCATGCCTGGCTAAGTTTTTAAAATTTTTGAAGAGATGAGGTCTTGCTATGCCTGCGCAGGCTAGCCTCCAATTCCTGACCTCAAGCTATCCTCCTGCCTTAGGCTCTCAAAGTGCTGGGATTATAGAACTGAGCCAATGCGCCTCACCACCTTTTGGGCTCCCGGAGAATGGCCAAACCGTCTTGGACACACCTGTCTCCAGGAGCTCACACAAAATAGGTAAGAGGGCTACAGGTCTTCCCTGTGTTTGAAGCTATCCAAAAGAAACTGTCTCTAAAAGTGTAACGCTTTATAAGGACATTCATAGTCACATAACATACTGATGTCTACTAAAACTTAGCAGTAAGACAATCCCAGTATTTTCAACCCAAATGCTCATCCCCACCAGGGCCTGGAGAGGTCACTCACCTGCACATGCCTCTGCTTCAGCAGTGTCTCATAGCGGTTGGATGGTGGCAGGTGGATCGTGGCACCCTGATTCTTGCATTCTGAGCGTAACCGTTTATCGAGAAGCAAACTAGTACAGAAGAAAGACAGGGCATTTGCACACACTATAAATTTTAACAGAAACCTCAGATCAAGTTATTCAAGATTCTGTATCAAAATCATACAACAGATACTCACCTTCCTGCCATAACCTTATAATATGCAAATATCTGGTCTGCTAGCTTGTAAACAAATTGGTCAAAACATAGATTCACCTGAAGAAAAAGAAAGCACACACTAGAGCTTAATTCCCTAAATCAAGACCAAATAACACAGCCCTTAAAACAGAAAATCCTTTGCTAGGGCAACTAATGAGGGTTTTATGAGGAAGAATAAACTAGAAACAATCTTATTGTCTGATAACAGCACATTAAATAAATGATGGTGTGGCCAGGAGCAGCCACTTCACAGTCACTGAAAATCACACCAGAACCATTCTTAGTGAGGGAGAAACATGGTCCCATTCTCTTAAAAGCAAAGGAGTCTGAAAAGTCTCTCTTCACCATATGCTCAGGCTTTCACGTGCATTGCATCTGGGTCCCTGTCTTGGGACAGCCCGCCGCCCACTGTGCATTCCAGGAGGCACCAGGGGCCACTCTCTGGCTCCCTGAAGCAGAGCAACTGCCCTGGTTGCAGGTCATTTCAGGAGACACCCTCGAAACCCAGAGCCTCTTGCAGATGAGGCTAGCTCCACACCCTCAGCCTGTGCTCAGAAGCAGGCTGTAGTTAGAGGGAATTTATTATTTTCCTTACAGTTTTCCATTTTTTCCTATTTTGTGTGTATATGTGGGTATGTGATGTCTATATATTTAGTTTTTTAAAATGCCCCCCCCCCGCCAAAAAAAGCACACTGTTTATCATCAGATTTTTCATGCTGGCCAGGAGAAAGATTATTTTAAAAAAAATTTTAAGCATCCTAGGAGGGAAGTTTCTGACCTTAGCCCATCCTGCATCACTGGGGGCCCTGAAGAGGCACTTTTAGGCAGTCTTCCTGAGAAGGCAGAGAAGGCCCAGACTTGTGAAGTAATTTGCTGATGTTAAATTATCTTCCATCTTAAACTAGAGAATAAGAGGCATCTCCTCAGCTGTGCCTACACTGACCTGAGAATCCACGTGTGGGACTCTGTCCTCAAGATATAATCTGACGCAAATCAAAACAGATGTGCCAGGGAGGGTACAAAAGTGCTATTTACAATAACCAAAACCAAGAAACTAGAGAAACAAAACAGGTTGGCTGGATAAAAGAGCACATTTATAACAGAAAACAGACGAGGACGCAGAAACAGCTGATGACACACTGCCAAGTGATGTTTGTCCACCACCATTGCCTGTGCAGATATGCAGAGGGAGGGCTCGCATGGTGTGCATTTCGAGGTTTAAGCTGTCTTGCATTTTAAAGACCGTTTCGTTCCTTTAATACTGAGAGGAAAAGGAAACTAGAAAAGAAACAGAATCAAAGGAAATGAAAAGGAGGTGCGGAGCCTCACCTCGGCCTCAATTTCGTCGTAGAGGAACTGCTTATTGAACCTGGTGAGTGCGTAGTGGGCGCTGTCGTTGTACAGGTCCAGGGAGTAGAGGACATACCTGAAGAGGACGGGTGTCAGCACCAGCTTCCCCCAGACCTACCGACAGCTTCCCACCCCTCAAGAAATCTCAATCTCATTCTTCTCCTCTCATGTGGGGAAAAACGTTTACTTCAAACATCAAACAGTGCTTTTGCGAGAGCCCCTGGGGCTGCACCTGAGGTGACCGCTGGACCTCCCAGGTTGAAGAAACAGGCAGGGACAGGCAGCCAGAGTCCACAGAGAGGGACATGCTCACGTGAGGCCACGAACAGACAAGCATGTAGTATTTTCTTAACAACAAAACTGAACTCTTCTCACTTATTAGGATTTACGACTATTTCACTACAAGCATGTAGTATTTTCTTAACAACAAAATTGAATAGGTTTTCCCTTTTAAGAATGAACTGGCAGCCTGGGCAATATCATGAGACTTCGTCTCTAAAAAAAAAAAAAAAAAAAAAAAAGAAAAAATTAGCAAGGCCTGGTGGCAGGTGCCTGTAGTTCCAGCTACTTGGGAGGCTGAGGCAGAAGGATCACCTGAGCCCAGCAGGTCAAGGCTGTGGTGAGCTGTGAACTCATAGCCTTCCAGCCTGGGCAGCAGAGTGAGACCTCCGACTCAAATACATAAATAAAAATAAAAGAATGAACTGGGCCAGCACTTTGGGAGCCTGAGGGAGGAGGAAAGTGCAACACTTAGAGCTCAAGCCCAGCCTGGGCAACACAGCAAGACCTTGTCTCTCCAAAAAGACCCAGCTACTTGGAAGGCTGAGATGGAAGGATCACTTGAGTCCAACAGTTAAAGGCTGCAGTGAGCTATGATTGTCACCACACTCCAGCATCACAGACAGCGCAAGACTCCCGTCTCTAAAACAAAGAAACCGATCTGACTTACAAAGAAAAACAAAAGAAAGTCCCAAATTCCACAGCTGACAACGAGCATGTCCAAAACTGGGCCCAGAGCTGAAAGCCTGCGGCCCCCCTCCCTGCCCACTTCAGGCTAGACAAAGGCAGTGGCTAGAAGCCTCAGTGGCCAGCAGGACAAGGGCACCGGGAGAAGCCACATGAGCAGGTAGCTGGGCAGCAGGGAGGGCCATGCCCAGAGAATGCTGGCCCAGTGCTGCAGAACAGGCTGTCAGAGGCTCTGCCCACACAGATGGCATGGCCACTCCCCAGTGGAAGGCAATCGTCTTGCCTGTCGCCTGGGGACCATGGGGAACCCGTGAGGACTGACGTGCAAAGAACACAGGGCTTTCCCTTTGTGGTGCTCAGAAGACGTACTTGCTGGGTCGCTCCCCAATCATTCAGCATGGGACACCTCTCCTCTTTAGATGCTTTCCCTTCCGCAGACTTCTACTTTGAAAGACTGACTCCTCTGCCTGGGCCCAGCGTCCACCCCAGAACAAAGCTACTTAGTCAAGACTTCCTCTCCCAACCAGATGTGGGCCAGGGCTGTGTCACGCGAGAGGCCAGGCTCCAGGAGCTCCTGCCCTGTAGCCCCTAGGCCCAGCACAACCACACTTCACAAGGCCTGTACTACAAAAGTCTGGGGAAGGCTCAGGACCCCCATCTCCCTGGTCAGGCTGAGTCCCCCCGGCCCACCCAGTACCCATGTGAGGAGCTCTAGGGCTCCAGCTCCTGATTTCAGCCTGAGGCCAAGAAACTGGTCACTCGTATTGATCTCCAAAGCCCTACCCAGAAAACATGATCTCAAGGGAAATGCTAAAAACGGCCCAGCCCCCTCCTCCGCTTTCAAGGCCCTAGGGTCACCCCAAAGGCCCGAGACAGGACACTCACTCCATCATTGATGCCTCCTTGGTCTCCAGGATGTGATCTGTCAGGATCCACGGCATCGACATCTCAATGGGGAACTGAATCCTCCTGCCCATGGTCAGCTCCAAGAAGAACTCTCGGAACCACAGCTGTGACAGGTCACAGCACTGCTGCAGTGTTTCTTGGAGGATCCAAACAACATCATGTTATCTTCCACAAGCAGAAAAGCACCAGCCACGACAGGAGAGGGGCTGTGGGCTGGGTGGCTCTTCCTCATTCAGCCCGGGGCCATGCAGCAGGGACGCATGGGGACAGGGCACGGGCTTGGTATGAGGGGCAAGCCCAGCCCGTGTGGCTGCGGGCGGGGCCGCCCGAACCTGAGCATTCCGAGCCACCCACAGGGACCTTGTTGGCCCTGCGAGCCCATCAGTGGCACTGAGGGGGAAAAACGTCCTTTTGAAAAGAAGAGCCTGAGCCCGCGGGTTCGAGACCCGCCTGGGCAACTTGGTGAGACCTCAACTCTACAATAAATCAAAAATTTAGCCGGGCGTGTTAGCACGCGCCTATAGTTCCGGCTACTTGGAAGGCTGAGGCGGAAGGATCGCCGGAGCCCAGCAG